TACCTGGACCCCAGAGGTAGGTAGAATAATTGCCTTTTGGGTTATTTTACTGGGTTTTGGGCTACTATTTTACCTACTGTATTTTATATAAGGAATATAATCTTACTAGGTTCAACCACCAAAAAAAACCGCTACTCTTTTGGGCTCGGACCCTAAACCCTAAACCCGAAACCCTAAACCCTAAAACCCTAAAACCCTAAAACCCTAAACCCTAAACCCGAAACCCTTTTTTGGGCTCTAGGTTCATCCTGTGGGCTTCCCTCCCTCTCTCTTGTGGACTGGGGGGGCTGCCCTGGGCTCAGAGGTGTTTGTCCAGATGCCAGATTCCATAAATAGGGGGACTTCAATATAGACCCCCAGTATACTATAACCCCAATCATGGCGGACCCCCGAAGAATGGGGAACCCCGAATAGAGTACACTGATTTTTTTTTGGAAGCCATCAAAAAGGGGTTTTCTGGGTGAGGTCGCCAGGATGGGCCAGCCGCAGCCTTAGTCAGCTCTTTTTTGAAGGGCTGGGTATAGGGTTGTAGGGTTGTAGGGTTTTAGGGTTTAGAGGTTTAGGGTTTTAGGGTTTTAGGGTCTTAGGGTTTTAGGGTTTTAGGGTTTTAGCGTCTCTGATGTTCCCTCTTTTTTCTGGGAGGCAGAACTGCTGTCAGTGTGATGCGGATGCAGAGCGAGATGAGGACCCGAGATGGCTCCCAGATAATAGGGGTTTAGGGTTTAGGGTTTAGGGTTTAAGACTGGGCAGGCCCCTGAGATATTTGAAATTTTCCCTAATGGCCTTAATAGGAGACCCTATATATTACCATTTTTCAAAGGGTTTTAGGGGCCAACCCAGAAGAGTAGGAGGATGCTACTATTATTCCTACTACCATTACTATTACTTAGAGCAAATAGTAGTAATGGTAGTAATAGAAGGAATAGTAACTGTAGTAGTAATGGTAACAGTACTAGTACTAGTACTAGTCATAATAATAGCCCTAGCAATAGCAAAAGCACTAGCACTGGCAATAGGAATAGGTTCATGTGCCATATCATCTCGACGTCTTCGAAGGCGACCATCGCCCGGAGCTTGCCCGCAATGACGGACGAGGACCCCGACGAGAGCGCCAATCCGTGCTTGCCTGAGGGAACTGAGGGAAGGTGTCCCCGAACTCCCTAAACCTTAAACCGTAAACCCTACACTTAAAACCCTAAACCCTAAACCCTAAACCCTACACTTTAAACCCTAAACCCTAAACCCTAAACCCTACACCCTAATCCCTAAACCCTGGTTATGGGCTCTGCTCCCGCTGAGGAAGTTCGTGGAGGAAGCGCCCGAGGAGACCTGGTGTATATTTTGAAGTTGTGGTGTTCTTGACGCGTGGCAGATGGCAGGCATGAACCCAAAGGTCCATTGCATTTTGCGCATTGTAGTAGTTTCCATTTTCCCATAATCCCTATAGAACCCTATATTATCCCGTATATAACCCTATGTTCAAAGCTGCCTCGGAGCAGGATGTAAAATCAAGTTTCTAGGGTCGACGAACAAGCGTCCCTGAGTTGCATGGCTTACTGGCTACCTTAATACTTGTAGGGAAGAAGGGAATGCAGTATATGGGGATTAATAATAGAGGGTGTATTCAAGTATATTCCCTTATTCCCGACCATATACCCCCAATATATATCCCAAGCATACTATAGAGTAGGTTAGGCTGCAGGGCTTTGCAAGGGCCATCAAGCGGGAGCATTTTAATTTTGAGTTGCCTGCACTGGTTTGCGTAGAATACAAGCAATACAAGTCAGTGGCTGAATCAAAGCGGCACAAAGGGGACTACTACTATTACTCTGGGCTCTTGTTGAACGGCATCCTACATGTTTGTGTATACCTGGGTTCAATATAGATTGAACATGATATTCTTTCTAGTATTTCAACAAGAACCCAGTTACTACTTACTATTACTATGGCTATTACCATTTCCATTACTATTAAGATTCCCAGGATTGCGAAACGCCGTCCGTAGGCGAGTCCAGAGTTCGATGGCACCTTGGCCAAGTTGCCACTAACCCGGTGGATCAACCCAGTTGGGGATCCGGCATCGGGCTAGACCCCGGCGCTACGAGTCCGCCCCGGGCCCGGCCGAGCCCGGGAACGGCACCTGCGGACTACAGGGTATCCACCCAAGCTGGAGCCCCAGCGAGCCTGGACGCCGCTCTGTCTGGATAGAGGTTTCCGCCCTAGTGCCTCGTGATCGTGATGTGGGCAGCCCGCGCACGCCTCCCCTCGCCCACTAGGGTGAGGAGTGGAAACCTTTCTAGGCAGATCGACCCAAGGGTACAACACACCCAGGATCAACCCATCGGGCTTCAGCCAAAAGCCATGCTGGTGTGGTTGGCTCTCACACCCATCTCACCACGCTGGTGTGGGTCTGGCTCTCACTCCCAACTCATCCGTACGGCCTCCAGGGATGAGGCGGATGAAGCCCGAGAATGCTAAATGCCCTGGAGCGGGCTCAACACTAATCCCTTGCTCAGGATGAGGGCAACAGGTTTGAGCGGCAGGAATGCAGAGCCGCCGCCCCTCAACGCGGAATTTGGCGCAGGGCCGACGCCACCCCTCAACAAGGCGCGTGGTCCACGCTTTCCCCCTTTTGCAACTTCGTGGTGGTGCGGGGAACGACGCCCTGCAAGGCTTTCGCAGTACTAGCCACCTAAAACCTGCAACCCCTCATCCTAATCAAGGGAAACAACCCTTTGTCCTGTTCAGCACAGGTGGCGGGGTAGACCCGAAACTATGCACTCCCCGCAGATAGCGTAGGGGCCTGTGTGTGGAGTGACCGGAAAGGACTGCTTAACCACTACCAGCAGCGGGGCAGGCCAGCAGCAGTCCCAGACCAGAGCCAGAAGGGACCCCAGACCCCAGCCTCGTGGGGTCAAACACCCCGATGGGCATCCAACCGGGCAAAGGGAGGTCTAGGGTCCCAATACACGGGAATGCTGGAGCAGGAATTAAGTGAGTGGCGGACAAAAGAGGGTGCTGCGGCTGCACCCTTCTCAGTGTACACCCCCGCTCCGCCAAGCTGCCAGCAATGTGATATGAGGAAACATCCGGCCATCACTTGTGTTCGCAGGGGACGGCGCCCAAAGACCCTCTTTCGCAGGGCAGGGTAGCCACACACCTGCTCTTGCGCTGGGAGTAGTAAGAATGGCAAGACATCTTGAACCATCAAGAGCCGTCCTAAACCTCCCCTCCATCAGGCAGGAGTTGCAGCATCTAGTTTTGAAAGGACGGTGGGGGGAGACCCCAACCAGGCAACGGGCAGGCCTAAGAAGGGTACAACATCTCCACCCAAAACTTAATGCAAATGCCTAAGGCGATTCCTGAACAGGTAGCTGAGTTTGCACGCAGTGCCGCTCCCAGACGGTGAGGCGTTTCAAGCGTGTTTAGACTGCATTGAGGCAGCACGCACTTCCCATGCCGGCTGGCCTCTGTGAACTGCAAGGGGTGTCACCCATCTCCCTTGCAAACCCAGGGCTTCCGTAGCGTGCTATGTGCTGCCTCTAGCTCGCCACTTGGGAGTGCAAAGCAGCTTGGTTGCAAAGGGTTTCGCCTACAAACCTGCGCCCCTCAGGCCCCAAAAAGCAGTACACGGTCCTTGCGCACTCGTGGCTTGAGCCAAAAGGGTTTGAGCCAAGTTTACTATTATCATTATTCTGTATTATTATTGTTACTGGTACTATTACTATTGCTGTTACTATTACTATTACCATTACTATTACTGTTATTGTCACTATGTCTATTACTATTACTGTTACTAATGCTGTTACTATATATTACTATCATTATATTACTAGTACTATTGCAACACCTTCTGGGCTTGCACGTATGTCAACTTCTGATGTCTTCGAAGACCTGCTCCCAGTGCCGTAGCCATCCGCAGGAGCCAAACTTCGGCAAAGAGTCCAGCTACTTTGACCGAGAGATTGCGCAGCTTTCCGAAGTGAAGGCCTGTTCATAGGGGGTTTCCCAAAATGACGGGTGGCACCTTGGGGGTCCGTATAATAATATACCCTATCATATACCCTATAATATACCTCATAAGACACCTCATACCCTATGACATACCCTAAAATATACAGTATGATATAACTCTTAATATACCCTATTATAATATCCTATAACAAGGACATATGGTATTTTGGGCTACGTTTGCACGCCCGTGCGAGGCGGGTGCGGCAATGGTGAAGGATGGCGAGCCCTTCAAGCGCCTTGGCATGGCGTGGGCGATGAAATAAGCTGTAGTCTAAATTCCGTGAAAAGGGGGTTATATAGGGGATAATATGGAAGAGTACTAAAGCGGGTATCTGTAGTCTCCCTAGGGATTACATTTTTTGATATAGTATAGCCTTCAGGAATTATTAAACATACTATTTCTATTACAGGTCTCAGGAGACTACAGTTATTAAGGGGATACTAGGAGTTTAGACTGTAGCTCTAATGCAGCTGAAGGTTTGCTCCAAGCCCAGCCTAGCAAGAGCCTAGCAAGAGCTTGAAAGGTTCCGGTCTGGTGCCGTCTACAAGGCCATGGGGAGCGGGTATACTGCCATAGACCCCCAATATACACCCAATATATCCCGATCTACCCCCAATGTCTGTCAATACATCACCAATACAACCAATAATTAAACCCTCAACATACCCCAATATACCCCCGGTAATTATACACCGTCTGTGTAATACAACCCCAATATATCCCTATTCGTATGGTAGTTTCCATTTTCTTTTCCATTATCCCTATATTCCCCACTCGTATCACCAATAAGGTAAGAGATTGGACGTTGCCAGGGCCAGTGGAAGAACGGCATGCGAGAAGGCATTGGAAAACAAACCTGGCCAGATGGTGCCAGCTTCGTTGGTCAGTCAAGGGCCCAGAGAATTTCATGGGTGGTTTGTTGCGGAACAAGGGACTGCATTTTATGGGGGTTGTATAGGGATTATATGATTATATAGGGTTTAGGGTTAGCAGGGTATCAGGGAATATACTCGTATGCAATGCCTGTATATTGTAATTCTTTACCGGTTCTCAGTAGGGAATAGGGGAAACTCATTATGTACGGGATAAATACGGATTATATTCCCTTTTTCCCCACCAAGAACCAGCAAGATACTTTTTCCGTAGGGAAAGAAAGCTGCTTCAGCACGGTTTGATTCGGTTCCGCTGAGGTGGGTTGCCAACAAGGCCCAAGGAAACGGTCAGTTCCTGCACAGTAGCTTGGCCGCAGCTCTGATTCATGTGGTTGTCAGTCACATCATGAGCCTACAAGAAAATCGGCGCTGCAAAGGCGACGGAGACATTTACATTGGGCACCTGCCTCAGCCTGTTGTAATAATAGCGACAATAACAATAACAATAATAGCAAGGATCGTAACAATAATGAGAAAAGTAGCAACAATAGCAAGCATACTCATAAGAATAAGAATATTGATAGTAGCTTTAGTAACAATAGTAACAACAATCGGAATAGTAACAATGATAAGAATAGTTGCAATAAAGATATTAGCAACAATAGTAGCTGTAGTACCAGTAGTGTCAGCCTCAGCTGAAGCCGAGCAGCTTCACCCAAGGCAGTGGCAAGACAACATGGCCAGCGGATGCGGGACGGAAGAGAATAGATGATTCCTATTATCATTGCTATTATTGCTATTCTTACTTTTACTACTATTGTTACTATAGCTACCATTCTAATTATTATTCTTATTATCATTACGTCAATTATTGCTTTATAGATTAATTATTGTTGCTATTCTTTTCATTATATTTCTTAGGACGGGGCCGGGCTTGGTGGCAGCAGCCGCATTGTAGGAAGTACTACCACAAGGGCAGCACGACCTACGAGGGCACCTGGAAGAAGGACATGCAGGCAGGCCCAATAATAATAGTAGTAATAAGAATTGTAACAATGGTAAAACGAGTATTAGCAGACATAATAGGATTCCCAAGGTAAAAATGGCAATAACCCCTAATAAAGTCTAGATTGTAGTTTTCATGTTCTTTTCCATTATTCCTATATTACCCACCCCAAACCCTAAACCCTAATCCCTAAACCCTAAACATCAATCCCTAAACCCTAAACCCTAAACTACAGTAGCTTCCATGTTCTTTTCCATTATCCCTATATATCCCTATATAACCCTAACATGGTGGCTCGACTGAAACGGCTTTAGGACGGCTATGGCGTTGAGACCTGGGCAGAAGGTGCCAGATACGAGGCTCCCGCATTGAAGACAGCCCGGGCTAGGTGTTGTAGGGTTTAGGGTTTAGGGGTCTAGGGGTGTAGGGTTTTAGGGGTTTAGGGTTTCTGGGTTTAGGGGTTTAGGGTTTCTGGGTTTAGGGGTGTAGGGCTTGGGGAGCTATAGTCTAAACTCCTTAAAGGGGGGTTATATAGGTCATATATGGGTTATACAGGATAATACAGGGTCATATAGGGTTATAATTATAGGGTTAGATAAGGGCTTAGGGTGAGAACTCCTTAAATCCTTAGAGGGGGTGGGCTATATATATATGTATATATATATATGGATTACAGGGTTCCTACTGTAGGGCTTACTCAGGAAGTTTAGACCCTAAACCCTACACGCTATAGTATAGGGATTATAAATTACGGGGGAAACCCTAAACCCTACCCTAAACTCTGAACCCTTATATTAGGGATTATTAAGGGGGATACTAGGAGTTTAGACTATAGCTCATATGTAGGATTCCAGGAAGGATGTCCAAGCAGTCTCTCCGAAGCAAATGTGGGTTTCCCAAAATCGGGGGGCACATTTTGG